TGGATCCACCATTAAATGTTTGTCACTAATAAATAAGATTAAGTTAAATGTTATCCTGTAGTTTGCCGCTTGGGAGGAGCATGGGGTAGAAGCAATGGAGTAGGGAGAATTACTTTTGTATGTAAGAGTGATAATTAAGCGATATTGGAACTTCACTACTGTAAATACACTATAGTTCTTTTTCTTTAAAGAGTATTTGAGTTTGTTTAAAATACCTTTTGGTCTGTGTTTTATTTTTCATTACTTTGCATTTTCTGTCCATTTTTCACTATTCATCTATTAACCTTTATTCTGACATAGACAAAAATTACATCTTTTTCATATTCTATTATTTTCTTTGTGTTGTCTTTTGGGTCCACATTGTTGGCAGCATTTTCCCCAGTGGCCTACAACATGGTAACTACTGTAATTAATCTTAACTGTCTTACATGATTTTTCATTTTTCATGTCAAACCACATTGGATGATCTCTAAATCAGACCAAATTCTTCTAAAGCATATAGTAAGATTCCTGAATTTCTAAAATTTGATTTAAGCTTTTTATGTTAGTCTTTTTGTCTAGATGTTACACTGACATGCATTTTAACTCTGGGCCTAAAAAAAAAGTAGGCGTGCTTTAATGTCCAGATCAAATGTTATCCTAAGTTCTACTTAAACACAGTGCCTTGGCTCACTGCCAATTTGTACTGCCTTCTCCCTGTTCCCCACTCAGTTCTTAGGGCCTCTGTCCTGTTTCCTAGATACTGTTGCCACCACTCTGCTGGAGCAGGGCCTTCCTCCCTCTTCCACTCTCTAATCTCAGGACAGTTGCTAGAAAATGGGGGAAAATTTAGAGGTCCAAAACTAAGATCATATACTGTATGGGACCTAAGGGTATTCTGGAGGAATAATGTCAAAGAGTTCCATGGAAGTGCAAGTTCTAAACAGTGTATAGTAGCAGTTACCCTAAGTTTTTATTAATAAAGTCATATGCTGTGGGTACCTAGGTGTGACTGTGTTTCTTAATATAGTAAAGATTATAATCTTCCATCTCACCTTTTAAGTATATGTAAATATTTACTTCAGAATTTTTAAGCACATTCTTATATTTTTCGCTTTTAGCTCTTAAAAGACAATTTTGCCTTTTTACAGAGAATTATGTATATGTGTGTTTTTATATATACATATATATGCATATCATGCATCTTATACACACACACACACACACACACAGTTGTAAGTGGCTTGATACATCAAAACACTGTGGATCCCTGGGGTTGCTTGGGTTATTTCAGTAACTATAGGCCTTGGTTTATTAATGAAGAGACCAAAGATGCTCTGATAAATTAGAGATACAAATCTTTAGAGAAAAGTCAAGATGGCAAATGATAGGCATCAGGTTTACCATTTCTGTTCTGTTGGTGATGTCCTGTCTGCTGGGCAGGATTCCAGAACTTGGAAGAGGAAAGTGACTTAGGCTCAAGAGACTTGATGTCTCTGGTCTAGAAGCTTCATAACCAAAGATAATTGAAGCGTAGATTGGTTTACTTACAGAGCACTTCTTCATTTACCTACCAAATGAGATGGGTAAATTTGAAACAAGTTTAAGCCAATATTGTAAAGAATTGGGCAATGACTAATTGTTTCCTACTCTGTTTGGGGAAAGTTTCAAAATGAGAGAAAGGAATTTAAAATGGGATGGTATTTTCTTTCTTCAACGCCTTTCTCCACTTTGCGTTGTTATATTAGTTTCATTACCCTAGCTTTGAAGTACTATAAACAGTGTTGGACACTTATATGTCCATAAGATAAAAGTCTTTTCCTGTTATGTACAGTTCTGTCCTTTGCATTAGGACTGATAAGTGTATTTTCAATGGAAAAAGCTTATAGTCACCATATAGACAACTACCTACATGAATTCCTTCAGGGAAATTCCTGTTTGTTTCAGACTTGGCCTCAAAAAAGCAGGGAGTCGGTGTTTGTAATACAATAGGAAACTGCTAGATTCAATTTGATTATATGGTTTATTCTGACTACCCTCTTATTTTCACATATATAGTTCCCTTTTAAGATGTTGGTTATTCTTGTTTGGTTCATCTTAGTGCTATACATCAAAAGGCGATTACAATACCTTTGCTGCTCTTATGGTTTAAAATTGTAATTGCAACATTTGGTGGTTCAATCACTATCCGTTCCCTTAGTCATATCTCACCTTTTTTTTTCTTTTCTCCACCTTTTTCTTTTCTATTTTAAAATAAAAGCAGCTGTATTTTTCATTATTATACTTTCCCATTTCCCTTTTTTCTTTTGTTACAGAACTGTAGAAATGATGGAGGCAGAATTCTGCTAATCTATCAAACCCTGTTTTCTAGTCTCATCTCTAAATGTCCAGAATGTTGTAGAAACTTAAATTTTGGTGCCACATTTAATTAGTATGAGATGTTCTTTTATGGTACAGTTTTAATGTGTGGTCTATATCTTCCAGTTCCTTAAAATATTAATCATTTACTATATTGTACATTCATTTCCTGCTCTAGAAAACAAATTTTATGTATTCGGAGTCATATTTTGTTTAAATCCCAAAGTTAAAGAGTGGCAGATATACAATTCAGCATGCAAACTAATTATTTATACGTATATTGTAAGTGAATGTTTATTTTGCATTGATTTAATGATAATACTCGAATTGTTTCTTTACCAGTGTCAACCACCTATTTTCTACTTCCATGGAATTTATAAATTAGTACTGATTTTATACCTAAATTTAAAAGCTTAAATGCCTATCTTTAAATGTACAGGACACTTATGCTTTGTTGAGAGATGTTGTGATAGAATATTCATTTATTTAACCTTTATCCTTAATTGTTAGTTGAACTTAAAATTTCACTTTAATAACTATTTCACATACTTTTAAAAAAAAATCAGTTATTTTAAACTTAATTCATTCCTTGAGACCTGCCATGAACGCTTTTGTTTTTACTTGGAGTTACAGTTGAAGAAATTAAGAAAGTGACATCCATGATCCTGTTTAATGTAACATCTCAAAAGTTTGTAGCAGTGGAATTTCAAGCCTTAGTTTTCATTAATGCCAACCAAAACAGGCTGATTTGTAAGGGTTTTTTTCAGTTTGGCAAAAACATAGCAAGATAAGGAAAATTAATTTTGTTTCAACCTGTATTCTATAATATATGATGAAAATTGCTAATTCCTTCTTCAGTAAGTAAAATTACTAAGTTTAACTCCCCGCCATAATTACAATTTTCAAATTCTTAACTAAAATTGTAGTGTTAAAGTACTTGCTATTTTAATGCATTGATTATTTTTGAACTTGTAATAATTGGGTGAAGTTAACCTGGAATGAATTGAAAGCTCAAAATTATATCTTGCTGATTTTCTGAGTTGGGTATAGACTTTAAGAAGTAGGGAAAAAAATTTTTTTTTTAACACTAAAAGAGTTACAATTTGGAAATAATTCTGCCATATTTGAAGAATTTATAACTTAACAAACATGATACTTTAACCCATTAAAGGAAAAGAAACCCCAATTACTACTAAGTAATAATTATATAGAATATCAGAGAATAGATAGCAGTTATATGCCTCATTAAAAATAACTGGTATAATTTTCATAAAGTTTAGTAGATTGGAGTCTTGCTGAATCTTATAGAAAATTCTTTCCAGACTTGAGAGGAAAAAGTACAGATCTTTTCAGTTTGAGAATTATCACAAAGATATTCTGGTTATAATTGCTGAGATGAGACATAGGAAGAAAGACATATTCTATTTTTACTATTATCTAGACTTTTTTGGTCATTTTAACGTTTAATGGAAAGACTCTGATGGTAGAAGATGGCGGAGAGGAAATTGGAGTTCGTGTTTGTTCTTTAGGTGAGGAAAATAAATTGGAAAGTTATGAGCAAAATAAGGAATGTCATCAATAATTCATGTGTTGTATTTTTTCTATTACTTTTCTTCAATGAAAATAGAGGAATGAAACTACGTATTTGCTGAAATTAATAATTGTTCTTAATTTTTTCTGATAGATCCAAATCTCCTGGATTTGTGCAGCTGCCCAGTAACTTAATTAGTACTTAATTCAGGATTTTTTTTTCTGTTTTCTAAATAAATGTCCAGCTGATTTATTCTCCCTTCTTTTTTTTAAGGAATCTAGGTAAAAATGGCTTATCTAACAGTAGCATTTTATTGGATAAATGTCCACCTCCAAGACCACCATCTTCACCATACCCTCCCTTGCCAAAGGACAAGTTGAATCCACCTACACCTAGTATTTATGTGAGTCTGAATTAACTGACTAGAAATAAATTAAACCGGTGTTTGCACCTACCTGTCTTTCATAAGATCTTGCTTTAAGTTAATATGGATGTCCTTTAGGAAACATTAAAATCATTGGCAGTAGCTTGAATGTTTTGGGGGGGAAAAGATGTATTCAGAAAGATTTCATAATAGCATTTATAAAACATGCCTTCTCAGTTATTAACCATGATTACATTAGAGTAGTGAGAAATACTTCTTACTGCCCCCAATTTTGAACGGTATGAGGCGAAAACCACCTAAAAGTATAACTTACGCTGGGTTTTAAATCTGCATTCTACTAGTTATATGGACCTTAACATTCATTCTGCTTATGCATCTACAAAACTATGTACTTTCATTACCTTCAAAAAAGGCATTTGAGAACATAAAATGTGATAATAGGCATGTCATTTTTTTTAAAGAACGTTAAAAGATTATTTAAAACCGGATGTTATTTTACTTTAAGAACATTTAGACATCTGATGTAGGAAGTTGATAAAAGTTCAGTGAAAGAAACTCTTATATTTCTCCCAGGTAGGTCCTCCTACCCCATTTCTTTCCATCCTCCCAATTATACCCCAAATGAAAAAAATGTTAAACTATCAAGTTTGTTTTTTGGGGATTTGGCCCTGTTTTTGCCCTCTAGAGGCCAAATAGTATCGTATTAATCCTTCCTCCAACCAGTATTTATTGATCCTTCAGTATGTAAGAGAAGCACTGGGATAGATGTGTAATAAAACCTTTAAACGGAAGTCTGAGAGAGGGAAATGCAAAATTAAGATTTATCTTTTATGGGTCTTCTTCAGCTTGCTTTCACTTTGGTATTATTTTTAAAAACACTGTGACCTTTTGTGGTTTTCTTTTCTCTTTTTGTGAGGAAAAAGCCCACATAACATAAAATTTACCATCTTAACCATTTTTAACTATACACTTCAGTAGTGTTAAGTAATATTCTTATTGTTGCAGAACACTTCTCCAGAACCTTTTCATCTTGTAAATCTGGAATTCTATACCCATTAAATAGCAACTCCTTTTCCCCTGGTCTCCTCAGCCCCTGGGTAACCACCAGTTTATGTTTCTATAAATTGACTACATTAGATACCTCATATAAGTAAAATTTTACAGTTTTTCTTTTTGTGACTGCTTTATTCTCACTGAACATAGTGTCTTCACGGTTCATCCACATTGTAGCATGTGATAGGATTTTCTTCCTTTTTAAAGTTGAATAATATTTAAATCGCTTTGATTTTGAAGTTTTAATTTTATTTCTTCCCGCATATTTTGTTCAAGATACAGTGGACAAGAGAAATGTATGTGGTTACTATCTAATTACAACTTAGGGTCAAAAGACACAGTGATAAAATGCTGTAAAATATAAAATAGAAATTACAGGGTGCATTGTTAAATTGCAATAAATGATGAATATGAATTTGGCATAATATTTAAATAAAAGGTCTGTTTTCCAGAGATCTGACCATATGTTTTAATTTTACAGTTGGAAAATAAACGTGATGCTTTCTTTCCTCCATTACACCAATTTTGTACAAATCCAAACAACCCTGTTACAGTAATACGTGGCCTTGCTGGAGCTCTTAAGTTGGGTAAGCTTTAAATAAGAAAAAGAAAAGTTTTATATATCCTTTGCTATCTGTGACTCTTAAAGCACTGGCAGAAACTTATTTCTATTAAGTTTTTCAGTTTTCACATTTTCATTTTAATATTTTCTGGCACTGTGTGTGTGTGTGTGTGTGTGTGTGTGTGTGTGTGTGTGTGTGTGGTTGTATATCACTTTTTTAATCCATAGTGTGAAGATATAATGACAATATTGGTTCCTGGCAATTTATTAGTGGTTTTTAAATTTAGCTTTTGGTCTAATTATATAATTGTGATTTAGGTTATCTAATGAAATAATTTTTAATATAAAATGTAGATAAAATTCAGTGCTACTAATAAGACTGTAGCCTCCTAACTAGTGCCTGGCCCCTTGATTCCGCCTTTGCTGGTGGCATGAAGATTAGGTCTGGGGCTTCATTGTCTGGTTGTGTAAACCTGGCACGAAGTTTAGGTTGTGCAGAGGCCCTGGTTGTTTTTTAGGGGAACCGGATAGAGTGCCATAAAACATTTTCTTTTTTTTCTTAACAAAAGCACTTTTAATGTATTATTCCAAATATAATTTTCATTTATTAACCACATTTATTTATTTATGAAGACCTGGGACTTTTCTCTACCAAAACTTTGGTGGAAGCTAACAATGAACATATGGTGGAAGTGAGGACACAGTTGTTGCAGCCAGCAGATGAAAACTGGGATCCTACTGGAACGAAGAAAATCTGGCACTGTGAAAGTAATCGATCTCATACTACAATTGCTAAATATGCACAGTACCAGGCCTCCTCCTTCCAGGAATCATTGAGGGTAAGTGTTTACTCCTTGAACATTATTTTATTTTTAGACTATTTTATTGTTTTCTGTTCTTTTATTTTGAAAGGGCACATTTCTTTTGTAAGCATCTCATTATTTTGTAGTTACACGAAATACTCTGTAAGTGCTGTGCAGTTTGCTCTTAGTAAAGTCAAAGCAAGCCTATGGGTTGATAAAGTAAATATTGTTACTGTCTAGTGAGATGTCTCCCTCATCCCTGGGATGTTTCTATTTAAAGCAGGCTTTCTCAGTCTTGGCATTATTAACATTTTGGTTGGATAATACATTGTTGTGGGAGACTGTCTTGTATATTGTAGGGTGTTTGGTAGCATCCCTGACCTCTCTCCACTGGATGCCTATAGCTCACCCCTTACCGTCTACCCCAGTTGTTAACAGTCAGAAAGGTCTCCATGCATGCCAAATATCCCTTGGAGGGTAAAATTGCCTCTGATTGAGAGCCACTGATACCAGAGGATAAAATAAGTCTTGAGATTGCTTTATGCTTGCAAAATTCCTAGTCTTGTGCCTTCCCATTTTTCTCCTCTACCAGGTTAGTATTATCTGATAGATAACGCCTCCAGGAAGCAGTAGTGTTGTTCTTACTGGCCTCAGACTGAAGGAGAAAACTGAGGGAGAGGCATAAATTATTTCAAAATATATGGAAAATTAAAAACCAAAGCAGAAAAATAATCAGAGGATTATTATTAAAAGAGTCAGGCATTTCAGCAGTGAATCATTACTAAAATCCTTGAGCACTATAATGAGTACTTTGTGAATTCTCCCACAAAGTGAACATAAAACATCCACAAAAATGAGTTTATTAAATGTATTACTCAAATACTTGCTGTATTACTAAGTTGTTTTGTACATATCCTACAGCTAAAAACTTAATATGTGCCTGCAAGTCTTTAATTTGTAATTCATTAGATTTGCTTATCTGTTTAAAATTCTGCCTCGAGTTCACATGTTTAATGAAGGCAACGTTTGTACCTGCGAATTGTGTATTTGTATTTCTTTCTCACTACCATTCCCTATATCCTACAGAGAAATTCATCTAATGAGAATTGTCCTGCAGCTTTAATGAGCTGCAGTGAATTCATTGTCTGTATGAATCTCATATGGCCAAACTTTTGAGATACTTCAACTGTGTGGTAGTATTATGTTCAGAAGAGGATAAATAATAAGCAAGATTCAGGGATCACCCAGGAAGCCACCAAAGGAGGAGGAGTTGAAAAGCAAAGATCCTAAGAGGCAGAGTATTTATATGGGATGGGATCCATAACCAAAGAAAAGAAGCCTTTTTGTGTGCTCTGATGGCATGGACTATTACATGTGAAAATTTTGGCAAATGTTTAGAAACTATACATTTAAAGGGAGGGAGACCAAAATGTACTAAGTATTGCTAACTCAAACAGGACAGTGTTGAGATACTGTATCTGTGACCCCAAAATTGTAAATAGTAGTAGTAATGTTTGCATTGAAAAGCACCTATATTTATGCAGCACTTCTTTCCCTTACTAATGTTGTAAATGTGTTACCATTTGTGTATAATTCATTGTGGAAGAAAAGATTTAACCCAGGGAGAACTTCCATTTGTCCATAATCAAGAATAGAGAACATCTTACCTTCTACCCTTATAGTTACATACATACCCACACACCGCTGCTAGTTTAGAAAATTTATAATCAAGATGGATAGGCCTCTCAGTTAAAAAAAAAAAAAATTCTCTCCTCTTAAAAATGGGTCAAGAATGAGATTCTGTAGATTTTTGCCCTTAGAGAAGAATGTTATTAAGAAAGAACTCTTAAGATAACTGTGGCTGAGGAGGGCAGATACCATGCCGACGGGTGGTGAGCATTGACTTTTCTTGGGTTTTTATTTAATGTGTGGTCTTAAAAGAAATTTTCATGTGAAAGCGGCCTATAGAAACTTAGCTTCCAAACATAGATAATACCATCAATCTAGGTGTGAGATTTACAGTTGCATGATGGAAGGGATAGCTGGTTGTGGAATACTAAACTCGAATGTGTTTTGCTTAATCTATAGGAAGAAAATGAGAAAAGAAGTCACCATAAAGACCACTCAGATAGTGAATCTACATCTTCAGATAAGTAAGTCATTTTTAATGTCCACTTAGTATTTCTGTTTAAAAGGCATGTTTCTAATATTGTCTCTCTTTTTTTTAAGTTCTGGGAGGAGGAGGAAAGGACCCTTTAAAACCATAAAGTTTGGGACCAACATTGACCTGTCTGATGACAAAAAGTAAGTCTTTGTAGTATTTCTGTGAACTGATGCATAGAGGTATCCTCTGCAAGACTGAGAATTGTCTACAATTTCCTCTTCTCTTTCCTTCCTTGTCATTTTTCCGAGTTGATATACAAGTTTCAGATAAATTATTTTTGCTAGGTTTTACAATGAAGTTATTTTCTTTAACTTAAAACTTGTACAGGTTTTCATCAAGACCCTGACTAGGCTAAGTACACAATCATAAAGTTATTTTATGATTAATAGTGTATAATAATTTTATAAAATAGAATTCTACAACAATTATAAAAATAGGAAGTCAGGTTTTTTTCTTTCATTTACTCAGTATTTTTGTTTTGTTTTTAACTCCGTAATTTTTGTGCCTCTTTTCATTAGGAGGTTTTCTTTGGAATAATTGAAAAAATTAAGCATCTCATTGTTTCCTGTGCAAAAGTACAATATTTATAGATCTCATTGTTTTTTGGATTGGGACACAAAGTTTTTGAAGAAATGGCTAACTTCCATAAATATTTGTGGCAGGATTTCACTCTTGATCTGTTGTTATTTTATTGCAGATGGAAGTTGCAGCTACATGAGCTGACTAAACTTCCTGCTTTTGTGCGTGTCGTATCAGCAGGAAATCTTCTAAGCCATGTTGGTCATACCATACTGGGCATGAACACAGTTCAACTGTACATGAAAGTTCCAGGAAGCAGAACACCAGGTAACTTTTATGAACTAACGTTATCTCCTACAATTGAAAAACGGGATTAATCAAAATGTAAAACATGCAAAAGAGAACCAGATTCTTTTCATTTACACTGAAGGAAACTGAAACTGAAGGAAACTCCTGTTATAAGGTTTGACTTGTATTATTAAGATTTTTCCCATTATATTATCTTTTTTTAATAGAATAGTCCTGAAACAATAGCATTTTAATCTGGAAAGGGGTCATTGGAGCACTCCTGGGAAAGTCCCTGTGGCTTAGAGACTGTTGTTGATCCTGTCTCCAGAGTGATGGGATATAGTTTTTTTTAAACTTTTCTTTTTGCCGTAGTCACACTAAGAAATATATTTTATGGGGGCGCCTGGGTGGCTCAGTGTTAAGCAGCTGCTTTTGGGTCAGGTCATGATCCCAGAGTCCTGGGATTGAGCCCCGCATCAGGCTCCCTGCTCCGCGGGAAGCTTGCTTCTCCCTCTCCCACTCCCCCTGCTTGTGTTCCCTCTCTTGCTGCGTCTCTGTCAAATAAATAAATAAAATCTTTAAAATATATATATATATTTTATGACTTTGTGCACATATGTGTATACAAGAACAGTTTCATAGAATAATACATTTTCTAGTCTATTCCATTCTATTTCATTTAAATAAGGAAGTAGAGGTTGTAATCCTCTAATTGGGATGCAACACACAGTTCACACAAAGCACTTGATGGGGAGACATTTCTAGAGTTCTCCTGGTATCCAGTCTGGACTTCCTATTAACTGGGCTTGTCACTTTTGGCAAGTCACATTTCCTTCTCTGGGTCTTTTTCTTCATTTGTAAAATGAATTACATTGGTTTTAAACTTAAAATTCTGACCAACACTAATATACCATCTTCTTTGTGTTTCCTTGGATTTACATGAAATTTCTGAGTGATGTTCAAAATATTTAACAATTAGAGCTGATGACTGGTGATAACAAGTTCACTTATATACCAATGCCTATAGGCTGCATATCACCATCAGATGTTTTTGTTTGCAACTTGAAGCAGCCATGGTTTGAAAACCAGAGTGCTTTCTTCTTTGTCACCTGCTTATTGAATTGTAACTACAAAGTTCTATCAAAATAGGCCTATGCTTGCTTCTGGGTAACATAGGTCAGTGGATTCTGAGTCCTGACTGCTCATTAGAATCTCTTTTAAAAAATAAATAGTTGATTAACCTCTGGAGATTGGGATCAGGCACAATATTTTTTAAAAAGTTTCCCAGAGGATTATACTGTACAGCCAGGATTAGAACCATTAGGTTGTAGTAGTTTTTATCCTCAAACCATTGGAAGCCCAATTCTGTGATATTTTATCCATACTTGGGTAAGGTGGAAACAGTTCTAGAATAAATGGCAGAAGAGCTATATGTGCCCCCCCCCCCCGCCATTTAGACACTGATGTAAATACTGAGCAAGTTATTTAAACACTCTAAAGGTTTTTTTTAAAGATTTATTTATTTTAGAGCACGAGCAGGAGGGTCAGAGAGAGGGACAGAGAATCTCAAGCAGAGTCTGCAAAGAGTGTGGAGCCCATTACAGGGCTCGATCTCCCAACCCTGAGATCAGGACCTGAGCCGAAACTAAGAGTTGGATGCTTAACCAACTGTGCCACCCAGGCGCCCCAAGAGTTCATTTTTCTTATGTATGTAGTATTGGATTGGTTCTTTTAAGATTCATTTCAATTGAAAACCTCTCCAATTTGAATTATTTTATGTAAATAATACCCTCAACTCAAAAAGAATGCAGTTTTTCATTACAGATGGGGGGGCGCGGGAAGCAAACTTGGTAGATTACTTCTTTGTCACTTGTGTCTAGACTGTTTCGATTTTTTTTTCAGTTTGTATATAAGGCATTAATTTTTCAGAAGTGTCCTGTGGAACATTGAAGAATTCTCTAAGGAATTCCCTTAGAGTAGTGCTATCTAGTAGAAATATAATGCAAGTCATATATATAATTTAAAGTTTTATAATAGTCATATCAATGTAAAACAAAATAGGTGAAAATCATTTTAACCTGGTATATCCAAATCTTATCATTTCAGCTTGTAATCAATATAAAAGTTATGGGATTTTTCACAGTTTTTGATTTCATATTAAGTCTTTGAAATCCAGTGTGTACTTTATAATTTCTGCATATCTCAGTTTATATAAACCCCATTTCAAGTGGTTACTCTGTTAGAGAACTCACTCTTGGAAGAAATGGATAGTTTAATTAGTTTAGTTCAATTTTTAAAAAATTATTTTGAATACTTTTTTATGGGGCAAACACTTTGTTCCTGGAGTTACATAGATAAGGTGGTACCTACCTCATGGACTTTATGCTCAATCATGTATGTTCTAAACTATAGAGATGCTCTCAGGCTCTACCCCAAAACATTTTGAATTTGACAGTGGGATTTCAGCATCTCTAATTATAATTAGTGCTAAATTTTATTTTGGAGTCCACACCATGGACAATTCCAACCATCTACCCATGGTAAGAGTTTGTAAGTATTAAGAGTACCATATTCACTTTTTTCCCCAACACCATTTGTTGAAGAGACTGTCTTTTTTCCATTGGACATTCTTTCCTGCTTTGTCAAAGATTAGTTGACCATAGAGTTGAGGGTCCATTACTATAAAGAACTTACTAAACTCAACACCCAAAGAACAAATGATCCAATCAAGAAATGGGCAGACGACATGAACAGACATTTTTCCAAAGAAGACATCCAAATGGCCAACAGACACATGAAAAAGTGCGTAACATCGCTCGGCATCAGGGAAATCCAAATCAAAACCTCAATGAGATAGC